TGGGCCTCTCACTGTTGTGGCCTCTCCCGTTGCAGAGCACAGGCTCCAGACGCGCAGGCTCAGTGGCCATGGCTCATGGGCCCAGCCGCTCCGCGGCATGTGGGATCTTCCCGGACCAGGGCACGAACCTGTGTCCCCCTCATCGGCAGGTGGACGCTCAACCACTGCGCCACCAGGGAAGCCTGGTTCATTATATATTGATACAACAATCCCATGAAGGTAGGCTTAGGACTAGGGTTAGGGTTAGCCATTTACCCAAAGCTATCTAGCTAGTTGGTGATAGAGCCAGGATTTGAACCCAGGGAGTATGGCTCAAGGGTCTCTGCTCTTAATCACTCAAGACAGGGAGCTTTGAAATAGCCAGCTCTCTGTACAGACAGGCAGACAGGCATTAACACCTACACAAATAACTGCGTGGTTGGGGGGAGGGGCTGGAGATGGAGGGTGGAGTTTGAAAGACAGAGCTATGGGGGTTCTAGCGTAAGCCCCTTCCCGAATGGAAGCCTCAATCTGGCATTGATCTCTTTCTGAGAGGATGGCAGGCGCAGAATGACATCTGAAATCTGAGCGGTCATCTCTGCGTAAATATAGGGCTCAGTGTTGGAGAGGGATGACAGGTAGCCCTTAGCGAGAGGCAAAAAGCATCAGAGAGCTGTGTGTTTACACAAACTGTGTCTTGATATTTTCTTTGTCTATTGTTCTTGAGGCAGACATAATGAATGTTTCTTCTCTGGGGCATTTATTCAGATGACAAAGCTCAGGCTTTGCCTGGAATTGTAGAGACCCCAGAACTAGAACAGAACTTTGTTGACCATCTCATCTAGACCTTGTCCATCCCTCTACCCTTAACACACACACACACACACACACACACACACACACACACTCTCTCTCTTATGAAGACAGAGGATACGTATCCATTAGAAATAACAAGTGAGGTACCTGGTACACAGAGGCGTTAGTAGCCCCTGTTAAAAGGAATTAACCAAAGAAGGCAGGAGTCATTATGCAAACACAATGAGGGCCCAATGATATGAAGTCCTGAGTGATTCTTTCGTTGGATCTGACTCACGTTTCTCCATTCACTCTAGATTGAGTCAATATTTACATGATATGTCTGCCCTCTCGGTCCTATGTTTTTAATTCATTAGTTCCAAGTCTTGGAAACAGGCTACTCAAATATTCACCCCAGTGAAAGCTCAGGGTTATTAATAAGCAGACAAGTGTTTGCAGGCAGCTGGTCCGAGCTGGGACACTGCTCACGATGGAGAACACGTGGCTTCCGAACCACGTCTGAAATGACTGTGTTCTGCTGGCCTGCGCTGCACGCGCTCCTACTCTTAGGCCTCATCCAAGAACAATCAGAGACTATGACTAGAAATCTTCCTCTCACCCCCTACCCAAAACATCCCCAGCATTTTTAGAGGAAAGATGACATTTTCCCCAGCCCTGCCTGATCAGAGTGAGGGACTCTCCTACATTCTCCTCGTCAAGGTTTATATATCCTTGTCCCAAGGGTCAGAGGACTACTTTCCTCGTTCTTAGCGGAAATTCCATTCTTAAATATCAGACTTCCCAATTTGCCTCTCATGGTAGAAACCACGGGAAGGAACCCGAGAGACGACACCTGTCATTTGACAGATGAAGACAGGTGGGCCCCAAAGAAGGGACCATTTGAGGATCAAGTTGGTGATGAGATGCTGCCGGTTCGCAGACCAGGGCTCCTTCCGCCCACACCCTCCTCAACGTCCACGTGGCACTGAAGGCGACACCGTGTCGCCATGAAGCCCGGGAAGGAGCAGAGGCTGCCTCAGTTATTTTCCTAACCCTCCCCCGACCCCCTTATCTGAACGCACCCCCAGTGGAAGGAAAGCCCATGGGCTCTTACTCATTTCCATGTACTCTGGCGTCAGTCCAGTGTACGGTTCCAGGCTGTAGTCTAGATCCCACTGCTCTGGGTGCTTTGAACAGGCGGAGTCAGCTTGTCCAGGCTCTGTCTCACCTTTCAGCTTCCGAAATAATTTCTTTAGCTTCCTGGAAAAGAAAGGGATCCGTCACCAAGAGCCTCTGGAGGAGAGGGTTAGTTCTTCAGACAGAAAGGAGAAAAACAACTAAGTTTTGATACTGGACCATCTCTCATCTAAGGACAGAGAGAGGAACACTAAGGAGACTACTTTTCTCTTAAAGACAGTCCCAGGAGGTCCTTTGTCGGGATAATAAAAGGGTCATCCGGCAAAGGACCAAGTTTCTTCAAACCCGAAGAAACTTTTAATTCTTCCTGCTGTTTGATAAGCAACAGGAGTGTTGGCCCTTCCTGTCCTATTTTCTAACGGGTGATCTGTCCACCCTCTTCATGGGGAAGGGAGGGTGTTTAGAAAGTAGCAGAAAGATGCCATCTTCCCACCTCAAACATTTTCATGTGTTAATAACATGAATAGCATATGTCCATTAAAGCCAAGCTAAACGTTGTCCACCATTGCTATGGGGTGAATCGTATCCCCCCAAATTCATATGTTGAAACTCAGAGCCCCAGTGTGACCATATGTGAAGACAGGGCTTTTAGGAAGTACTTATGGTTAAATGGGGTGATAAAGGTGGGTCCTAACCCAAAGGATTGTTCGCCTTGTAAGAAAAGGAAGAGACAGCAATCTCTCTCCACCGTGTGAGGTCACAGTCATCTAAAAGCCAGGAAGAAGGCCCCCACTAGAAACCAAACCCTGCCAGTCCTTACCTTGGATTTTCCAGCCTCCAGAACTGCGAGAAAACACATTTCTGTTGTTTAAGCCCCCCAGTCTATGGTATTAGTTATGGCAGCCTGAGTAGACTAAGTCAACCACATTCAGGACATTTTTGGTCTAGAATGAGAACAAGACAATAATGGCCCAGCCTCTTGGGATTGGTATGAGGATGAAGTGAAACAGTGTTTATACCATCCTCAGCACAATATCTGGACATAGTAAGCATTCAATAGATGCTAGCTATTATTATTTTTAATATTAAATGCTAAGATTAATTAAATGCCTGAAGGTACGATCTTTTCATTCCTCCCACTGTTACACAATACACAGAGAATGAAATGAGGATAAGGAGTGAGGTCCCAGTTCTGCTGATCGGTCTAAGAGGAAGTTTCTAGGAGACTGTGGAAGGAGAACTAACAGCAGAACAGTCAGAAGCATAAACCTGAAATGTTTAAAGGGACTGTGCCTATAACTTAAGGTTGTTTTTACCATTTTACAGCTGGGAGGGCTGAGACTCAGAGTGGCTAGGGGTTGCTTGCAGTCCAAAGCCTGGCATAAGGACCCAGGTCTTCTGGCTCTGGCCCAGGTTTCTTTTCCTCCACAATTCACGGTCAAGGTCTCCATGAAGGAGACTTGGGATGGACACATGGAATTCATGAGAGCAAGAACCAAAAAGAGAAGGGGAACCGAGCGGATGGGAAGCAGAAGATCACCCTTCCTTCCCACGTGAGTCTCCAGCCGCCCCTCTGTTCGAACCTGCTGTGGCTATCGCTCATTCAGGGGAAATCTCTGATTGTTCTGGTCTGTAGCTTATAGTTCCCGATAATCCTAAATTGAAATCTCAGCTCTTCACTCCCTGGTGTGTCAGATAATCTCTTTAGCCTCAGTTTCCTCCTTACTAAATGATAGGTCCTAGAACCAATTCAATGAGATAAGGTATATAAAGGCAATTTAATAGCAACCATGTTTGGAACAAGGTAACTGCTCAATAAATGTTAACTATCATTAATGTAAAAAAACAAACTAAAATAAAGGGATTGTAAAGTCCATGTTCCATCCGAATGCAGGAATCCTCCCCACACACACATCCTCACACAAGGCCATCCAACCCCTGCGTAGCTCTTTCCAGAGGAGCACTCACGAAATCATTAGGCATCTCATTCTATCGTTAGAAAGTGTTCAGGCAAGTAGTGGGAATCCCATGGTTCAAAATAATGTTTTGATCGGTGCCTTGTCCAATACCACTGCCATCAAGAAGCCTGTAGTATTGCGGTATGGGTAAAAGTCTGATCTTGGATGTCAGGAAGTTGTTCTTTAAAAACCTAGTTTTACAACTCACCAGTTATATTTTCTTGGGCAAGTTATGAAAACTCCATAAGCTTTAGTTTTCTTATCTATAAGATGAGAAAATAAATATTAACTGGCCCATTGGGTCAGTTAAAGGAGATAATCTATGTAACATGCTTAATTTAGGGCTTGGTACGTGTCAAGAGCTCCATAAATATATCGTCCTTATCACTGTCATCCTCATCATCACAGGAGGATCTAAAGAATGAGTTGAGATCCACAGAATCAACAGTAAAATAAAATATTTCATGATAAGATAGCAAGCAACGATTCTGTGATCACAAGAAATTAAGAAAAGCCTAGATGGAGGCTGAAGATTCTGAAGCCAAATAGTATGAAGTGGCTGAGACCCTGTCTGTGAGTTGGGACAGAAGGACAGGATGAAGAAAAAACATAAAGAAGAGAGAGACAAGAAAAGAAGGGAGGGAGAGAGGGAAGGAGGAAGGGAAGGTCTACAACCAGAACTCAAATTAAGACTTTTCTGCCAAGTACCAGGAATCAGAAAACTCGGCCACATCTTTAGTAAAGAATAGTAAATGGGGCTTCCCTGGTGGCGCAGTGGTTGAGGGTCCGCCTGCCGATGCAGGGGACACGGGTTCATGCCCCGGTCCGGGAGGATCCCACATGCCACGGAGCGGCTGGGCCCGTGAGCCATGGCCGCTGAGCCTGCACGTCCGGAGCCTGTGCTCCGCAACGGGAGAGACCACAACAGTGAGAGGTCTGCATACCACACACAAAAAAAGAATAGTCATGGAAAATTGAACACATGCGTATATCCCTGTCCACTTCTGAAATGCTACCAAAATGATAGTGAATGAATTTTAAAATGTATAAAACCACAAGGTTAAAGAAAATAGTCATGACTACAGTAGAGTATGAGAGATATTAATGACCATCTTGGAAGATGAACAGTGAATGAAGGAGTTAGCAAAGCTGTGATGGCTGAATACCAAGTACCTACAGTGGAAGACAGAAGGGAAAAGCAAGTCAACTCATGCTGAAAAATCTCAGACAGGCTCAGGAATTGCAGGCACCAGGTATCAGCAAAGGCAGGAGGTAGGGATTAGTCAAGGCACTATTAAAGGAACAGCAGACCCTAATCTCTCTGTCCACCATATTGCCCAAGTGACCACCACTTCCCAACACCAACAGGAGCAAAAAGTTTATTCAGAGAAGAAAATGAACCAGGGAAACTCTGGATCTGACATAAATCCAATAAAATGATAGGAAGTTAAAAATCAATAACCTCTTAGGGAAAAAAGAAAATAGAACTAAAAACAAATATATGGGCAAGAGGAAAGAAAAGAGAAGGAAATTAATCAGTCTATGAACTTCAACATTTACGCAGAGAGAGAAGACAGAGAAAATGGTGGGGAAGAAACTACAAGAGAAATATAAGAAAATGTCCCAGAGGTGAAGGACATGCACTTTTTTTTTTTTTAAATTTTTTTGGCCACACCACACGGCATGTGGGATCTTAGTTCCCCAACTACGGATCGAACCCACACCCCCTGCATTGGAAGTGCATAGTCTTAACCCCTGGACCGCCAGGGAAGTCCCAGGACATGCACTCTCTGATTTTAAGGACCTACTCACCAAAATGAAGAAAGAAAAGATCTCCACCAAAGCATATCACCTTGAGATTTCAGAACGCTAAGAAGAAAGAAAAGGATTCTAACAGCTTCCAGGTCCAGAAGGACAAAGATAGATTCTCTAAAAATTATAAGCAAAAGGATATTAGAATTCTCAACATCAGCCCTTTACAATAGAAAACTCCAGGGAAATGTATTGACAAGGCAAATGATTTTTAGCATAGGATTTTATACCTATCCAAAGTATACAACGAGTGCAAAGGCAGAATGAAGACATTTTCAAACATGCAAATTTTCAAAAAAGATATATTTCTATGCCTCCATCCTCATGAAGTTCCTGGAGGATGAATTTCGCCAACCAATAAAGCAATAGAGAAAACAGTATGGAATCTGGCAAAGAATCCACGAGAAAAAGAAGTGTTGGACCTAACAGGGATTGATAGCTGTATGGAAGGTTTAGTGAACAAACACTTCTGGTCTAAACAGGATAATGGAGGGTTCCTAGAGGATGGTCTCAAGGAAAAAATAAGTGTGACCAATAAGACATCTGATGTGTTTAAAAAGAATGAAATATTGCCATTGGCAGCAACATGGATGGACCTAGAGATTATCATACTAAGTGATGTAAGTCAGAGAAAGACAAATATGATATCACATATGTGGAATCTAAAAAATAATACTAATGAATCTATACACAAAACAGAAACAGACTCACAGACATAGAAAACAAACTTATGATTACCAAAGGGAAAAGGGACGGGAGGGATAAATTAGGAGTTTGGGATTAACAGATACAAACTATTATACATAAAATAGATAAACAATAAGGATTTACTGTATAACACAGGGAACTATATTCAATATCTTATAGTAACGTATAGTGAAAAATAAACTGAAAAAGAATATATACACATATATGGCTGAATCACTTTGCTGTACACCTGAAACTAACACAATATTGTAAATAAACTATATTTCAATTTTTAAAAATGATAAGACAAAACCCAAAAAATAAATAAGAAATAAAAGACATCTAATGTGTTTAATGAGGTAATTAAGCTGGGAAAGTGGACACTTAAACAAGTGTCACCAATATGGTATAATGAGTATTATAAAGGCAGAGATTTAGGGAATCATGGGTAACCTAACCTGCAAGGTTTCCCTGGGGAAAAGCTGTGTAACCCAACCGAAGGATGAAAGATGAAAGAAGCAGCATGGGAAAGTGAGAGAGAGCTGTGGAAGGGGAAGGCGTGTGTTCTAGGCAGAGGGAATTATTTGTGCAACAGCCAAAGACAGTGCGAGAATGGTCGCTGCAGGGAATAAAAGGAGATCCAAACGTTCGCAGCATAAAGTAGGA